TTCCAGAAATATTTATAGACGGTCTAGGAGCGTCTGCATTAGGAGTGGTCAGTCCGCACACCCCTTCTATCAACGCAGCAAAGAGCCTCAATGGACAAAGCAGCATAGCCTGCGTGTACTACTCCCATGGGTTGGCATGGTGACCATGACCGGTGCTTCGACCAGGGCCCTTCAGAGGCACCGCCCTCTCCTGCCAGATGCGCCACCGGGAATGTTGTCTCGCAAGATAGAGCGCATGCGACTCCTTTCAAAAGAGAGGACACTCAAGTTGGACTCACTTCCTCGCGGTAAGAAGAGATTGAGAGGGTAGATAAGGAATGGGAACAACATACCTGCAGATAGCTGCCCCCAACCACAGATTTCTCACCAATTGGGCCCACGTGCATTTCGATGACCGATCAATAGCTCATCATCATACATACATCCGCTATCGCCACAGCTCCCACGCTGTCGCCACAGCCTTCCAGCGGTCGGCACCTCTACCTGGGCCCCGCTCATACAAACCAGCGCCAAAGTATCCCTACTGCACATGAACCATGGTCAGCGCACCAAGTAACAATGTCGCCGCTGCCAGGTAAGCGGCAATCACGAACCAGCTCCGATACCAAATTGCAAGGAATATGAGTGTGAACGATGCACAAAAAAACAAGTTGCGAAATCACACAGATGACCAGGTAGTCGTGTCCAAGCAGAGAGTACAAAATGCACCGAGAAACCATCCGTATAGAGGAATACAATGAAGTAATGAGCCAATGTTCAAGCCCGTTGGCCAAACCAACACAGTATCCAAAGTCGCTCCTCTCTGTCTGGCGCCCAGCGCCCAGCCTACTCTGCCCGACTATTTTACCTACAGCGGGTTCACGCAACAGGCTCACATCGACTCTCGAAGACCAATGTACATGACTGTCCACACCGTAGTCGACCTCTCTTTGTGCACCAGGTACGTATCTCGTCACCCTCAATCAGACCTTGATAACCCCACACTCGCCTCCTTCCCTGAAGACCACCAGATCGCCCGCATTACCCCTGGCACCCAGCAGCTGGCCGCCTGCGCCCCGCTGCCCTGCAGCACCCCACTTCACCGCTATGTGCCCCGTCAGCAACCTTGGTCGCAGCGCAGCATCAAGCAGTAGCGCAGCAGCACTTCCGCATTGCCTGCACTGGCCAGAATGCCTGGCCCGGGCTGCCTCACTTCTTTTATGGAATTAGCAGCCTCCTGGATGCTGCATGTGGCCTGGCTGTAAGCTTCCAGTAGCCTTCCGGTTGGGCCTCAGACCCTGCGCCCAGGCCCAAGACTACAGTTGAGGACCTGGGCCGTCAGGGCCTGGGCCCTCTTCAGTTGGGCACGGCCTGAGTCTCCGGACTTGGGCTGTTTGCTGCATCTGTGCAGGGCTCCCAGGTAGGTGCGTCAGCAGTACTGCTTTTCCAAAGGCCGATGGCCTGCTTTCCAATGTATCGGCCCTGCTTTGTGTGTATGTGCCCAGGCGCAACTGTCAAGGCCTGGGCCAACTGTATGACGCAGCTTAGTGAGGCTCACGCGTCTACCCAACCAACTGGCGTACTGTGAGAGCCTGAATACCCACATATGGAAATGTTGAAATTTGGCCTTGGACGAATATTCAGGCCCACCTTCACGTAGGGCGGGCACTCGGCTCCAGAACATGTGATGTCTGATAGGGCCCCTTGTGGGCTCGTTCCTCACAATAGTGTACATATATAGAATATGCATAGCAGAATATGCATAGTACACATGGAGTCACACACTGGCTACTCATCAATAAGGCATATAAATACACAGTACATAGCATATACATAGTACGTCTATATAGAACACTAGATGACCCGTTGCGGCTTCGCCCTCAAAAACAGAAAAAGAAAAAAGCACAAAAGAAAGAAAACGCATAAGGAACTGCCCTATCATATGCCGCTTCTTTCACAATAAAAAAAAGAAGAGCCTGAGAGCAGACGAAAACCCACATGCAAGAAAATAGCAGGGAATACCACCGAGCATTCTTCTTTCTTTATCTTTGCGAGTTTTGTTTGGGGAGCCGTTACCTTTGCAGCATCGTTTTTGTTTTGTGCTGTTCAAGAACTCTGGACTTTTCTGAGAAAATCCAGTCCGTCGTCCCGTTGATGTTTTTGGTAAAGATTCAGAATCAGACTTAAATTGCTGTGTTCTCTGGATATGTTTGTGATCAAGCGATCTTGCATGTATGCCCCGTGCTTACTTGTTGCTTTTTGACGCTATGTGTGCAAGTGCGTGCGCGTGTGGGTGAGTCTCAGTTTGGTGGGCTCCGATGATGTCAGTGATGATTGGCCCGGGGAGGTCGTTGGAAGGCGCCTCCAACTATAGGAGTGCCGCTGATGTTAAGCAGGTTTTGCATTGTATGAATGAAACAATCAGCATTCAATCTGCTTGGCAATTGCTCTTCGGGTGGGGGACTTATCGGGAGTAGCATTGACATGAGAGCCATAATGCCGGGCTTACATCTTGGAACATTTCCAGGAAGGCAAAAGGGAAAAAAGAAACGTAGCACGTGTCAGAGTCACAAAATGGACAGCTTGGCACAGTCCCCCCCATTCACTCTCTCTCTCTATCTCTCTCTCTCTCTCTCTCTCTCTCTCTCTCACACACACACACACACACACAC